AATACTGTCCTACAGAGTACACTGATTTTTCTAGAATAGGGCTTTTCCTGTCAACTGTCAGGAAACTGTTAAAATAAATATACAAATCTGCAGCGTTTGCATGACCCTTCAGTATGTTGCTGTTTTGCACTGATAACCTGCACAGTTGTACTGACAGTAAAGAAAACATATGTGTTGGTCTCTCTGGTTTAGGGGCAGACAGGTGGGGCACACAGAGAGGGCACACAGATGTTGCTTTCTCTGGCCTCCAGCTCTGGAGGTGGGCAGGGTCTAGAGTATGAGCCAGGGGAGAGTAGGGGGGCATGGGTGGTTGGTATCACGTGGGCTTTGGACATTGAGACTCTGACCTCACTGCATTCCTGTTGCTTCTACCATCACCACTACCAGTCTCTTTGGAATCTTAGGGTGGGGGCACCTTTGAGGGTTATGGCCGCCGCCCAGGATTTGAGTGTGGGAAGTGAGAGCAGCCTTGGCAAATGGGGCACCTGTGCCCTGCAGGTGTTCACAAGATCCACTATCTGTAATGTCCCTGGCACAATAAAACCAAATGCCAGTTTAAAAAAAAAAAAAGAGAAAGAAAACATATGCATTGATAGAAGGTAAATTAAAAGACCACTGAAGTCCTTTCCAATTCTAGACTATGATTCTGAGATGCAAAATGGAAAGCAGCAGCTGCTGCTGCTGCTGCTGCCTTGGCTGCACTGGGATAAGATGCAGTAGACAGCCTGGACCACGAAGGCATCCTTTGTGGCTAATGGTGTGGCTTTGATTCACAGCAACTGGCCTGGAGTAGAAGAAGAATTCAAAGGTTGGATTCTTTGCAGATGACTGAGTAAGTGCAAAAACCATAGCTATTATCATCCTTCTAGTGACATTTCCAGTGTCATATACATTCAATGTTCAGATCAAGAAGCTAGTTGGAACTGGTAGAAGAAGTCATTGAGTACAGTCTGGTATTTAAGAAAAAAAAAGAAGAAAGAAAGAAAAGGATGACTGACAAGAAGCATACACATTTCCGGTACTGACTGCTAAATGGCGGTCAGCTTCCAGAAGAAAGGCCACCGTTTGCTGCTGAAACACATCGAGCAGGACAATGCATATTGACTGGGAAGCTTCAGCAGCAAGGAAGTCAATCTCATAAATCACTCCACAAACTATGCAGGGTGCTTACAGAGAGAGAGGAGAAGTGCAGGCTTTGTTAGAAATTCCATGATGGATCTAATTGGTTCACTGCAGCACTATTAACAACAGTCAAGATAGGAAAGAAATCTAAGTGTCCATCAATAGACAAATGGATAAAGAAAATATGGTACAGCACTGGCCAGGTGCTTAGTTGGTTGGAGTGTCATCACAATACACCAAGGTTGTATGTTCAATCCCCGGTCAGGGTACCTACAAGAATCAACCAATGAATGCATAAACAAGTGGAACAGCGAATCAATCTTATTCTCTCTCTCCCCCTTCCTCTCTCCCTCCCTCCCTCTTTCTAACATCAGTTTTAAAAAGATATGGGCCCTGGCCAGTTGGGTCAGTGGATTGAATACCAGCCTGAGAACCAAAGGATGGCCGGTTCATTTCCCAGTTAGGGCACATGCTTGGGTTGTGGGCAAGGTCTCTATTTGGGCCAGTGCAAGAGGCAACCAGACATTGGTGTTTGTCTCCCTCTCTTTCTCTCTCCCTTCCCCTCTCTCTAAAAATAAATAAATTTTAAAAATTTTACAAAGATATGCTACATATATACAATGGAATATTATCAACATGGATGGATCTAGAGGGTATTATGCTAAGTGAAATAAGACAGAAAAATAGAAATACCATATGATTTCAGTTACATATGGAATCTAAATAACAAAATAAATGAACAAATAAAATAGGAACAGACTCATAGTTACAGAGAGCAGACTGATGGTCACCAGAGGGGAGGAGAGTTAAGGAGCGGGATGAAGAAGGTAAAGGGATTAAAAAGTACCAACTGGCAATTACAAAATAGTCACAGGATGTAAAACACAGCATAGCGAATATAGTCAATAATATTGTAATAACTCTGTATGGTGCCAGATGAGTACTAGATTTATGGGGGGGAGAACTTTATAAATGGATCTAACACCCCATTGTACACCTGAAACTAATAAAATATTGAATGGCAACTTAAATTGAAAAATTAAAATAAAAAAATCATTAATTTAAAAAAGATTAAACACAGTGGGGGGAAGCTTAAGACTGACATGTCATCTTTGAAATCGCGTTCATATTTTCACAGAGTAATACAGTCCGATTCACAGTATCTGTGAATCTGTGTAATGCACATTTGAAGTAATCACCTTTCTTTACAGAGAATGCAGCAAAGGGGGTTAGTGACTTTTCTAAGGCCACATGGCTCCTTAGGTGGCAGGTCTAGGACAATAAGAACTCATGTGTCCTGACATCCCCTTTGCTGTCCCACCACACCTGAAAAATCACAAGGTCTGCAGCTTCCAGCTTCTTTTGTTCAGCCACAATATCTGGGCTCAGACGGCCCTCTTTATAAGCTAGAGTAGACTCGGCAGGATACTGAAAGTTCTCAGGGTTCTTCAGTTCACCTGCAGAGAGGAAAAAGAGAGGCTGAGGCCATGGGGCCAAGGCAGGACCAGAGAACCCACGGGCAAGAAGTTCCACAAAGACCTAATTAAAGGAGGGAGCTGCTCCTACCTGTGATGTCCTTTCTGGAGAGGACGGGATTGAAGTTCATGGCATACAGGTCCGACACCGTGACCTCCCATCCTTTCCTCTTCAAAGCCTCTACAGCAGCTTCCTTCATGGCATAGTTGAAGGATGTCCGCTCGGCGTGAGCCAGTACAATCAGTGCTTTTCTGGCTATTTAGACACATGCAAGGCATATGGAAGAAATCAGTTACCAACCAGCAAAGCCTGAGCTACAGGGGAGCTGAGCCGGGATCCATAAGGGAAGAGATCACTTTGTTAGACTTCCGGTCATGCAGTCCATCCACTGCAGCCAGAAATATCTTTCCTCCTTAAAAGTACCAACAAATAAAGGAGGCACTATAACTCAGTGGGAAAACAGAGGCTAATTTAATCGATGGTGTGGTACGTAATGTGCCATGTGCATAAAAATAAAATTATCCCCTTAGAAGACTAACATAAGGTGTTAGACAGAAGTCAGTATAGTGGCTCCCCTTGTTGGGGTAGCGACTAGAAGGGTGCAGAAGCGGGTTTGGGGTGCTGGCAATGTTCCCTTTCTCAGTCTGATCAGTGACCACACAAGCATGTGTTCCATTTGTGAAAATGGAACTTAGAACTTAGAACTTGTGCACATTTAAGTGGGTTTGTTGTATTCAATAAAAGCTTTTGTTTTAAACTATCCCACTAACACACCACATATAACAATAATTTACTGGCAGATTAAGTTAAAAAAATAAAACCATTAGGATAGTATAGGAGAAAAGAGAGTATGTGTATAACCTCAGGATAGAGAATACTTTTTTTAAGAAAGGCTACCTGGCTGGCGTAGCTCAGTAGTGGATTGAGTGCGGGCTGCGAACCAAAGTGTCACAGGTTACATTCCCAGTCAGGGCACATGCCTGGGTTGCAGGCCATGACCCCCAGCAACCGCACATTGATGTTTCTCTCTCTCTATCTCCCTCCCTTCCCTCTCTAGAAAATAAATAAATAAAATCTTAAAAAAATAGAAAATTAAAAAAAAAGAAAGTCTAGAGATTCAGAAACCATGAAGAAAAAGCTTGACTGATAAAGTCATATAAAAAATTTTTAAGAATTGTGTTTACTGAAAGTCACCATAAACAGAATCAAAAGAGAATCCACTAGCAGATATCCTCAACTCTTATCACGAAGTTATAATCTGAAAGAATGCCTACAAATAATTAGAAGACAGATGATGCAACAGAAAAATAAGTCAAGCATATGAACACGCTCTTCACAGAGGAGGAAATACAAATGGCAATAAATAATGAGAAGGTGCCCTGCCTGGCTTGTCAGAAAAGCAAATTAAAATGAGATGTTATTTACCTATCAGACTGGCAAAGCAATTTAGGACAAGCAACATTGAGAGCTATCAAAATTGCAGGAAAAATGGCACCTTGCCAGACGGAATATGAATTGCCTCAGCCTTTAGGGAAAGTAATAATGCTGAATCTCTTAAGAGTTTAAAGGCACATAAATCTTTGATCTAGCTGTCCAGCTTCAGGGAATCTGTTCTACAAACGGAACGCATCGGGATATAGGAACAAGGATGTGTATTGCACCGTTCTTTTCATTGGCAAAAATTACAAATAACCCAACTGTCTATTTGGGGGGAAAATTTGAATAAGTTATGGTACCTGCATACTACAGAATATTGTGCTGTTAACAAGAATGAGTTAACTATATTCAGTGACCCAGAAAGATAGCCGTGATATACTAACTGATAAAATGAACGTGAATCCATTTTTATAAAAACCAAAGAAGGAAACTACATAAATGTAGATAGATTGGCAGTATACTGGCATGAGGGAAAAAAGAAGTGGCATGATCATATGACCTGTTAATTCTTGGGTGAGTAAGAGATGGCAAGGGGGTAGAGGCAGAGGGGCAAGACGAACTTTTTCTTGGCCGTCTGTATTAATGAAGTTGTTAGAATAAGCATGCTTTATTTTTGCAACAAGAGCAATGAATGCCTGCTTATTGTGCACTTGGCACTGCTGTAAGTGCTTTGCATTCTTTTTCCGTTGTCAGCAACCCCATGAGGTAGACACGGTTAGTATCCCCCCCATACTATGGATGAGAAAACTGAGGCACAGAAAAATTAAGCAAGTTACTACCTGAATTTACATAGTAACTGGGGAAGCTGGAGTAATTTAAAAGTATAGCGACAGAGACCGTAAATCTTGCAGCAACATGGGAGGTGTGGGGGAGGAGTACCAGCGACAGGAAGCTCCCCACCACCATTTGTCCTAACCGCTGGTGCCACGGCTTCAACGGCTTCATACCACTTTGCTTGTGCTTCACTGGTGACTGTGGGTGGAGCCAGGAGAGAAATCACCTGCAACTTTTTTGTCTGGTTTGAAGAAAATTAACAAGAAAGGCACATTTAAGCCTTCAGTTCTCTGCCTGCTTTTGTTATGAACTACACCTGGCGGAGGCAGCTCCTATTAGGTTAAATTCAGCCAGGTGGACGCTGCAGGCCCCCTGCACGCCGAAAAGGAGGGTCTCTGAGTTAGGTCCTGGCGTTTCTGATTCTGTAAACTCTGACTTGGTGGAATCAAGTGCTATGAGGATTTAAGTGCTATAGAGGTGCTTCAGAAGGCCTGGGAAAATGGAAAGGAAGTTCTGAAGCCGCCTCAACAAATTTCCAGCGCCCTTCTTCTCGACTCAGGGACTGAACACGGCTGGGAGAAAAGTGAGTACATGAAGCGGTGACATGCCTTTTCTCTGTGATCTAACCTTTGCATTAGTCATATCAGTGTTTACAGCTCTGTTGATTTTTATTCTCTTGGCTTCCTTGCTATCAATATACACAGTATTTACTTCTTATCAGTATTAACAAGCATTTTCTAAGTAGAAAAACAAAGTTGTTTCCCAGAAAATGAGAAAATCAGGATATCTATGCCTTGCTTTCAAGGAGCTCACCATCTACTAGCTATAGGCATGCCTATTACAGAGAGAGAGAGAGAGAGAGAGAGAGAGAGAGAGAGAGAGGGAGAGAACGAATATGTGTCACAAACAGGAAGAACATATTTGTAAGAAATATAACTGCCCCAGGCAGATATCTTGTTGGTTAGGGCACCATCCTGATTCACCAGGTTGTAGTGCCACCCCCAGTCAGAGCACATACAGGAATCAACCAATGAATGCAGAAATAAGTGGGACAACAAATTGATGTCTCTCTCTCTCAAATCAGTGAGTTGAATTCAACAAAATTACCCAAAGAGAGGTGATAAAACACACAAATAACCGATAGCATCAGCAGGATAGGAGAAGCATGGGACAGTTTCAGAGAGGAAAACTTTAGGGCTGGCTGGTTAGGAAAGGCCTTCAGAAGGAGCTGCTGTTGGAGCTCCGTCTTGAAGGACAAATGGGATTCTTTTCAGCACCTGCAGTTTAAGGTCCCTTACTGCTTGCTGTGCAGGCCATTTTCCATCTGATAGACGCGCCGTATCTATCAGCTGAGCACCTCTTTGCTAGAGTATCCTTTCTCCCTGCGCTGGTTACTTTCAGACTTCAGCGGGGAGGTCGTCTCTCCTAACCGCTTACCCGATTTTGATGGGGGGTGGGACAGAAACGGGGGCTCCCCTCCCCTGGCGTCTAGTCGGGGCTCATCCCGGGACCCTAATGGGTTCGGTTTTCCAGGTTTGAGTCAAAAACACAAAACGCAAGGCCGAGTTCCTACAGCTTGCTGCAGAGGAAGGCGGGCTTGGGGGGCGTGCTGGGCGGGCCACTCACCAGCCATGACTCCGGCGGTGCGCTGATTCGCTGGGGTGGTGGTTGCTGGAGCGACCCAGGTCGGGATAAGGTTTTAGAAGGGTTGTGGGTGCAGACTGAGGCTATTTTATACTTGTTGGGACCCAGCCAGGCCCACACGAGCCGGAAACCTAGCAAAGGCGGAGTCGGCCGCACAAGCCCAGGGATGCAGGGCGGAGCTCTTCTTGGTGGCTACCATTCCAGGATGGAGGTGGGTGGAGAGTCTGGAGCGTGGAGTGGGGACTACCACCTTGGGACACAGGAGGAAGTTTCGGATGGAGTCCTGGCTTGTTTGGGCACGCCTTCATCCTTCTCTCAGCCCTGGGAAATATTTCCGGCTCTGGAAACTGGGGAACAAAAAGCCTGTGGTTCGTTAGTTTTAGATTCGCTGAGTCACTGTGACTCTACATTGCTTGCCAGGCGAGCAAGTCTGAGATGGCCTGGAATACTTGCTCTGGGGAGAGTGTCTTTTCTTCCTTTGCTGGGTTCGTGTTCTGTGGTTTCCACAGCTCTAAGTTATGAGGAATTCTCTTCCTGGCACTGGAAGCCTGGCCCGGGGGGCCTGTTGTGGGCCTGGGACCCCTCGTTCCTCAGGGGGGACCTCTGTGGCCTAAATAACTCCGACCAATTTTTATCTGCCACCACACAGGGCTGTGGGGCCAGCCCACTCCAGTCTGCTCCCTTACCAGTCTACCTGTGGCTCCTGTGCATCCTTAGGTGCAGAATTTCCACTCCAGTAGATTTCAGGTGGTTCTGAATGATGGGATAAGTGGAACCACAAACTGATGTCTCTCTCAAATCAATAAGTTGAATTCAACAAAATTACCCAAAGAGAGGTGATAAAACACACAAATAACCAATAGCATCAGCAGGATAGGAGAGGCATGGGACAGTTTCAGAGAGGAAAACTTTACTTTAGGGCTGGCTGGTTAGGAAAGGCCTTCAGAAGGAGCTGCTTGCTGTTGGAGCTCCGTCTTGAAGGACAAATGGGATTTTCAGCACCTGCAGTTTAAGGTCCCTTACTGCTTGCTGTGCAGGCCATTTTCCATCTGATAGGCGTGCCGTATCTAACAGCTGAGCATGACTATGGTTCTTCAGGTTAGTTGTAATTTTGATATGGTTGTCTGGACAGCAAATATTGTCTTACCAAAATGTACTGTACAAGTTGTCTTTATCAGGACTTCGATTACCTAAGAAAACCCAGTCTTCCGCCGTGATTAAAATGCCACAGGTTAAAATAAAGAGATGAGAGGGTGGGTGTGGGAGAATGGGTGAGAGGTGAGGGGATTAAGAAATACAATGGGTAGTTACAGAATAGCCATCCGGTTATAAAGTACAGTATAGGAAATGGAGTAGCCAAAGAACTTACATGCGTGATCAGGGGACGTGAACAATGATGGGGAGATTGCCTGACCGAGTGGGAGGGGAGAAAGGGAGGAAAATCAGGACAACCGTAGTAGCATAGCCAATGAAACAATTTAAAACAGTCTTTTGCCCTGACTGGTGTGGCTCAGTGAGCTGAGTGCAGGCCTTTGAACCAAAGGGTCGAAGTTGGATGCCCAGTCTAGGGCACATGCCACGGATGTGGGCCAGGTCCCCAGGAGGGGGTGCGGGAGAGGCAACCACACGTGGATGTTTGTCTCTCTTTCTCCCTCCCTTCCCCTCTCTCTAAAAATAAATTAAAAAAATCTTTTTTAAAAAAGTATTTTCGCCCTGACTGGCGTAGATCAGTGGATTGAGCACGGGCTGCGAACCAAAATGTCACAGGTTCGATTCCCAGTCAGGGCACATGCCTGCCTGGGTTGCAGGCCATAACCCCCAGCAACCACACATTGATGTTTCTCTCTCTCTCTCTTTCTCCCTCCCTTCCCTCTCTAAAAATAAATAAATAAAATCTTTTTAAAAAAAAGTATTTTCAATATTAAAAGAGAGCCAAGTTTTGTTCACAACTACGTGACCTTATTTATGGATTTACCTCTAAACTCCTTCTGTTGTTGCTTTGGTTAAATAAATAATTCAGCATTATTTTATAATGACCTGTGATCCCATTTAATCAGATGTTGAAACATTTTTTTTTAAACCTTTGTTTTTTTTTATCATGGGTTTTTTTTTTTAGATTTTTATTTATTTTTAGAGAGGAAAGGGAGGGAGATAGAGAGAGAGAGAAACATCAATGTGCGGTTGCTGGGGGCCATGGCCTGCAACCCAGGCATGTGCCCTGACTGGGAATCAAACCTGCGACACTTGGGTTCGCAGCCCACGCTCAATCCATTGAGCTACGCCAGCCAGGGCTTATGTTGAAACATTTTGATATTTTTCCCCAAATCAAACTCTGAATGGAGCCTTTTGACCCCAAACTAAATTTGAGATTTCCCAGAGGGCCTCTTCTGGGGGGAAATGGGAATTTTAGCTGGGCCATTTTTAAAGTGATGTGAGCCAACTTTAAAACAGTATAAAAGGACATGTTTTAAAGGGTGTAGGCAGCACCGTCCAACAGAACTTTCTCTATCTGGGCTGCCCAAATAAGGTGGCTATTGAGCATTTGAAAAGTGGCCAGTGCAACTGAGGAAGTAAAGTTTTCATTCTGATTAATTTAAATTTAAATAGCCACTCTCAGGCAGTGCACGCAGGTCTCAGTGCAGAAGAAAGACTGGAGCTGGGAGCTGGGCGCAGAGACTGTGGGGTCGGTAGTGCGCCCAGGCTGCCCTCGCCCTGCTTTTCCACTCTCCATCCTTCTGTGCTTGCTCCGTGCCCCAGGAAGCTGACTCTGCAGGTGGAAATATAACCTTATTTTATACTTCTCATACGTTTATGTACTACTATGGAAACCCTCTCATTAATTTGTTTTTCTACGTGATCAAAAGTATATCATGCTACGCTTATCCATGGACAATTCTTCTAACTTAACTATCCCATCATGTATGGAGAGTCAGTAGAATTTATTCCTCCTTCCTGCAGCGTGGGAAACGATGGTCACTCATTTATGGAGGACTTACCATGCAGCAAGAACTGTCCTAAATACATGTACATATATTAACTCATCTTATGCCCCAACACAACTTTTTGCTATTAATCTTTTTTTTAAATTTTATTTATTTACTTTCAGAGATAGGGCAAGGGAGGGAAAATGAGAGGGAGAGAAACATCGGTGGGTGAGAGACACACCAATCGGCGGCATCTCCCACACCCCCCACTGAGGACCTGGCCCGCAATCTTAAAAGGTTTTTTGAGCTATACAAGCCATGAAACTTGCCCATTTAAAATGAACAATACAGTGGCTTTAGCATGTGTGTACATTTCACAATGATCACAATCATCTAATTTTAGAACATTTTCATCCCCCCAAAAGAAACCTGGTACCATTAGCAATCACTTCGTTCTCCCTGCCTGTCCCCACCACTCACCTATTCTGTCTCTGGGTTCATCCATTCTGGACGGCTCCTATAAATGGTATCATACTTTATGTGGTCTGTTGCGATTATCTTCTTTTCACTTAGCATTATGTTTTAAGGTTCATACATGTTGTAGCATGTATCACTACTTTGTACCTTTTTATGACAGTAATATTCACTGTATGGATAAACCAAATTTTGTTTATCCACTTGTCGGTAGATGGATATTTGTGTTGTTTTTACTTTTGGCTATTATGAATAATGAATGCTTTTTGCAAGTTTCTATTGGGAACATAGGTATTTATTTCTCTGGGGTAGATATCTAGAAGTAGAATTGCTGGTAACTCTATGTGCAACATTTGAGAAACTGCCAAACTGTTTTCCAAGGTAGCTATACCATTTTACATTACTACCAGCAATGTATGAAGGTTTTAATTTCTCCTCACCAACACTTTTTATTATCTGTCTTATTTACTATGGCCATCCTCTGTGTGCGAATTGGTATTTCATTGCGGTTTTCAGCTGCTTTTCCCTAATGACTAGCGAT